ATGGATAGAATAGATACAGATAGTTAGACATGATAGAGGGATAGAGAGATGAAGACATAGATAGATGATAGGATAGATAGATATAGAAGAAATGATGGATGGATAGAATAGATAGAGAAATAGTGAAATAGATGACATGGATTGATAAAAGACATACATTGATGATAGATGGATAGATGGGTACAGACAGACATAATAGAGGAATAGAGAAATAGATGAGAGGGATAGAAAGACAGGCATATAGATAGATGATAGGATGATAGATAGGAGAATGGATATAGAAGACATGAAAGGTAGATAGGTAGGTGGATGGGTGGGTGTTCTGTCTCACCTTTCTTCTTTCCAAAGATGAAAGAGTACAAACTCACACAAACACAGGCAGGCAGGCTGGCTTAGACTTCACAGAGTTAATGCTTTGGAACTGATAAGGTCCTTGGCATTCCAACACGCTCTGCCTGCCAAGTCCGAACTGATAACAAGTAAAAAGCTACGTACAGAAAATTACAAGGCAGACCACAAAAATCATTCACGAAGAAAACCTGAAGTAAGATTAAACTTTGTCCCATACAAAGTTCTAGCCGACAACACAGCTACTTTTATCCCCTGTGGGGTGTGGCTCAATGACTCAGCTCACTCTCTGACCCTCTCGCACCTCCTACGTTGCCGCTCACGTTTCTCCCTACGATGCTGCTTAGGATCAAGCCAACATTCTTCCTCTTGACTCCCTGTCAAGGGCTGCTCCAATATGCCTTCCTCCTGATTAATCTCAGGCTGCTCCTCTCGGTTGTCTGATGAAACCTGAGGCATCATCAGGGAGGAAGGCATTGCCAGAGAGGAAGGTCCTGGGGAGGAAGGCATTCCCAGTTCCTCCTCCTCCTCATCTTCCTCCTCCTCTTCCTCTAACAGCACAGGCTCGGGAATCGGAGCCACAACAGGTGGGTGGGTGATAGAAATAGATTGCTTTATGCATGGTATGAGCTTCTCTCTCCTCTGACCTTCACTGTGATCTTCACTTCCCACCACATCCAAATACTTAACAGGGTTGCTTAAAATCCAGAATTACTCCTTTCAAACATCTGAAAATTCCCTCTTATTCAGTCTGAATATTGCTCTCGAGCAGCATGGAATAGAAACGGAAATAAACGACCAAGGGAGCGTCGCCTCCAGCCCTTGCAATTAATCCTTTAACATCTGGAACCAGAGGTCTCCAAAACTGATTTTAAGACCTGTGGATTTCAAACTCCCAGAATCCCCCAACTGGATGAAGAATTCTGGGAGCTGAAATCCACAACAACTTAAAAAGTTGTCAAGATTGGAGGTCCCTGACCTAACCTAGTTAATCATGGCTGGTTGGCCTTCGAAGAAAACCTGAGCCGATGAAAGAGGATTGTGGGATGGAGACTGAAGAGAGGCGATTATGGAAACCCATTTGCCTCGAGAGAACAATTGAGCTGTAGCTATTTCTCAATAATTTTGCAAAGTGAAGAAAAAACGTTCAACTATTTGTCTGGGAGTGAGATACACAGCAGAATTCTGCTGGTTGATCAGTATAACTGCTGGTTGGTGTAAAATTGCTTTGGGGGACAAATTGATCCAGTAAGTGAGGTGTGAAAAATTTGAGTCTTAAGGTTATAAACCATGGTTCACATCCCTTCAGTTAAACGATAGAATACTGTGTTTTTCCTTCAGGCACAATTCAAGTTGAATTTGTTCTTAGAGACATTTCTTATAGAAAAATATGACTTAATTAGTGAACATGTTTCTATTGATTTCCTTGTTTTCCTAGGTACAAATTGGGATGCATCCCATCTTACCTACCGGCAATGACAATCAAGAATCTACCAGACTAGCCAACCATATCCCAAATCAGAATGAGCCAATAAGTTAAAATCCGGAGCCACCTTAGGAATACATGCTAAATTGTGTTAAATTTAATTTCTGCCTTTGGACAAAATAAGGTTATCTTTCTTTCTTTCTTTCTTTCTTTCTTTCTTTCTTTCTTTCTTTCT